TGCGCTTTGAAGCAGCACCCTCTGGATTATCGGACTCATGCTGACGACCACGCGTAGTCAAGATTGTGAAAGTCTTAGGTGAAGGAGGATTTTCTTTCGTGTACCTCGCCCAGGATGAGCACAGTGGGGTGAATATGCTGTACCGTTGTAAAATCTTGTTTGTGCTGACTAGCAGCTATAGAGGCAGTTCGCCTTGAAGAAGATCCGATGTCCCGGTGGGAACGAGGACGTCCGGCAAGCTATGCGAGAAGTTGAGGCGTATAGGCGGTTCAAGTATGTGGCCCCGGCTTTCTCAGGATAATGAGTGCCGGACTGAGCCCTCAGAACGCAGACACCCGAACATCATTCGCATTCTCGTATGTCTCCGCTGCTGAAGGCATACTCCGTTCACCCTGACGATGATGTCTAGGATTCGGCGGTTGTACAGGACTCCGCTGGTGACGGTCAAGTAGTGTATCTCTTCCTACCTCTCTACAAGGTTAGCCGTACATCCTACGTCTGCCAACATTGAACTCAAGAATTTGTAGAGGGGAAATCTCCAAGATGCTATCAACGCTAATTCGATAAATGGCACACACTTCTCTGAAAAGGAGATGCTCCGCCTGTTCAAGGGGACCTGTGAAGCTGTACGGGCTATGCACGATTATCGCGCGCCCATTGCCTCCCGCTCCAACCCTCGCGTCTCCCGAGAAAACCAATCCTCATCGGCCGATCGGCGGCCGCAGCAGCCACAACGGAACATCAATGCTGATAACGGTCACTCTGATGACGAAGATGACGCGATGCTTCCGCAACCCGAGGGCGATGCTGAGGGTGGCTACTCATACCATGGACCGGCGAGTCGATCATCTGTTCCTCTCCTCAACAGAGGTCCAGACGTGGGAGAAGCGATCTTTGACGGAGACGAAGAGCTTGCACGTATTCAGCAAAGTGGTGTGGAGAATGGTGCAATCCCTGGAGACACGGAGTTAGTGCCCTACGCGCATCGAGATTTGAAGCCTGGGTGTGTCCACTGTCTGTTCTCCAGCTGCTGCTGGGCTAACTGCGCACAGAAACGTTATGGTTGCGGACGACGGCCGACCAATCCTCATGGACTTTGGCAGTGCCACGAAGGCGCGCATCAAGATCGAAAACCGCTCCCAAGCGCTGTTGCAGCAAGATATTGCTGCTGAGCAGAGTACTATGGCATACCGAGCGCCCGAGCTGTTCGATGTGAAAACTGGCATCACCCTCGACGAGAAGGTGGACATCTGGTCTCTAGGCTGCACGCTCTTTGCTCTAGCCTACTTGCATTCTCCTTTCGAAAACACACAGACTACGGAGCAGGGCGGCTCGATAGCTATGGCAGTCATGAATGCGCAGTACAAGCACCCCAGCTCGCAATACTCACAAGGTTTCAAAGAGCTCATTGACTCAACGCTCAAAGTTAACCCGCAAGACCGACCAGATATTCATCAAGTACGTGGCGTTGAATGGCTGTCCACGTAGCAACTAATCTTTGACGCTGCGCCTACAGGTCGTAGAAATGACTGACAAGCTGCTTCAGCGACTATGATTGATCGTCACATCTCTACGGCTAGCCCCACTCGATCGGACTGCGCGACGCCCTACTTCTCGCTCGGTATCAGAGCCTCACACTCCTTCAGTATTTATACATGTAGTGTATAGAATGAACGCGTCTGGATATGTATTGTGTTGACGCCGGAGCATACATTTTAATCGGTGCTTCACACAGACTTCTCTCAGTGCCTTCTAACTTTCGCGTCCTCGGTGGACTTTTTCAACGCATTGCTAGCCTTGACCCTTACGCTCGCTCTTAGCGGCTCTTTTAGGGATTTTGCTATTGCAGTACCAGGTTTTGCGGAGGCCTCCTCTGACGGAACGGCAGGTGTCGCAGGCTGATCTTCCTTAGTTTTCGCCTCTGCCTTATTTAAAGGCTTCGATGCGTCCTTCGCGCTGCTCACCTTGCTTGGCTTGGACAAAGTTTTGGCGTACTTGACGGCCAACTTATCCTCGACCTTCTCCTCGACCTTACGTCTCTTTCGTGGAGGCTCGTCAGATGAAGCTGCAGAAGACTTGGGCGTGTCACCGGTAGTCTTGGCCTTCTCCGCCTGTTTACGCCTCCTCTTGACAATCTCTTTATGCTTTGCGCGTTTAGCTTTGATGGTGGCGAGCTTGGCTTTCTGTGACATAAATTAGCGTATACTGCAGGAGGATGGAACGTAATGCGCACCCTTTTCTCTGCACGTTTTGAGAACCCACCCTCCTTTGGCTTTGGCTCGATTTGCACCTTGCACTCTTCGTTTAGTTGGCGGATGAGGTCCCGAACATTGCCCTCGGGACCAGCTCCCGATACTAGCTCGACGAAATGCGTGAATCGCCGATTATGTGCCTAAGAGCTATCAACTGTTTGAACCATCGGAAATATGGCACGGGACATGCTGTGGCTCACCTTTGATGACTTGTGCACATCCCCCATTCTTGAGTTCTTCAGCAGCTTTCCTGGACAGAGAATACACGCGCGAACGTCCGGGTCCATAGAGATAATGTACAGTGGGTCGCTGACGGCTTGAGTGACGGACATTGGCGGGAACTCGTTCTCGGCTTCGCTATCCTCTCCTGCCTCACTCTCCATACCTTCCATTTCCTCCTCACTATCCTCTTCGACCTCTTCCTCTTCGACGTCCCCATCTTCGGCCCTCCAATCAGCCCCTTTGTCATCTGAGCTTGACTCAGAGCTGCTAGAGTCGCTCTCCTCGGAGTCAGTGTCTTGCAAACCCAGCACCTCCTTCATCTCGCTATCCAGTCCCAGCTCTTCCTCTTTCTCCAGCTTCCATACCCGCTTTTGTACGCGTTTGAACATATCCGAGATGGTGGATCCACGAGTGGCAAGGGCAAAGCAGGCCAAAGACCCAAGAGGGAACGAAACACACGAATGTGAAAATCCGAAAGCGTCCACCGTGGTCAACTTTTTAGCGCGCAACCATCTCCTCCTTCAATCCGTTCGCTTTCGATGCATTGTCGTCCGCTGCAGTGCATCCCATCTCGCGTTCCTGGCAGTTGTCTCATAGTCCGAACTCTACATGAAGACGCTGCAGATCATGCGCGTCGTCCTACGCCTTCCCAGGGTTGGCAACAGAAACGCAAATCC